CTTTTGTACATTAAATGTTGGCACAGATTTTCAGAACAGCTTTTTAGAAATGAGATCACAATCAAGTATAAAAAAAATCCTCAAACAAAGAAAAAGCCCTAAAACTGAGTGCAAGTTAGGTGTTAAAGGGTAATCTGTTAATATGCCCTCCAGAGTGAATCACCCTGCAAGTGTTCTGTGCAGGCTCCAACTTGTTTTTTGGTCCAAGGTATAATCACAGGAGAAGTATTGCAAAAGGCAGGAATCCTGCCTGGCTGCTTAAGCAGCACTAATCACACGTTTGCTCTGGTTACTCACATATGTCATCTCCATGAGGAATACTGGTGAGTTGGATAAACAGAGCATTGGAAGTACTGCTGTCCATGTGACAGTCCTGTCACCAGCCTGGCCCCAGGAGCCCTAGAAGTGCTCAGAGCACGATAATCTGCCTTATCTTAAAAAAAAGTGTAACTTTGCTGATTTTGTTATCATCTGCAAGCAGCAAGCAGGAAACTAATTTGCATGTTTCTCAATAATTCTCAGTCACATTGCTTAGAAAAGGCTGACTCTAAACACTGAAGGACAGGATGGGCTCAGACAAAAGGCTCTTGAATCTGCCTTTAGCAGTAGCCAACTCCCACTCCAGCCATTAAAATACATTGATTTGCATGGGAAAAAGGAATTTACATTCAAGTTGTCATTCTTTCATATTTTTATTATATGGAGGGAATGCTTGCTATTTCATATTTATTTAGGATCCTATGTGCTGGCAGTTTTATTAAGCTAAAAAAATAACACTTTTGAGAGAAAAATTAAAATACATATAACAGTAGGGATAGTTTTGTGGAGCAGTTTATATGGAATTCCCTAACATTCCCAACACTCCAGTTAATTGAACAGTTGGTGTCCAGTTACTTACAGAATCATAGAATGAATCACAGAATATTTTGTGCTGGAAGGAACCTTAAAGATAATCTAATTCCAGTACTCCCACCTTGGACAGAGACATGGATACTTTCACTGGATCAGGTGCTCCAAGCCCCACCTAGCCTGTCCTTGAACACTTCTAGTAATGGGCATCCACTGGACAACCTGTTCCAGAGCCTCACCACCCCCGCAGGAAGAATCTCTTCCTGATACCTAATCTGACCCTGCCCTCTGTCAGTTTGAAGCCATTCCCTCTTATCCTGTCACTCCACGTCCTGAAAAAATCCCTCTCAAGCTCTCTTGTAGCCACCTTGAGGTACTGGTTGACTAGTTAAATCCTTCAACATTCAAGAATAATTTTCTCAAACCCAACATTTATTCCTAAAAAACAAAACTTCCTATTTCTTTTTATGTCCAAATTGGTTTCTTGACGTATAATGATCAAAGCAAAGAAATTAAAAGTTACCTTTTCCTGAACCTACAGGAGAGACTGCTGCTGACAAAAACTGTTTTAATTTGAATAATACCCATGGTCAATTTTCTCAGAGATAATAGGTGCAGATCTCTCTGTAGCCTCTTTTGGCATCTCTCAGAGTTAAAAAGGGCATCCTGAATCAGGTACAGTTTGGGTATTTCTATCAACTATCAGTGAGCACTCCTCTGCACACATGTAAAATAGCCCCTGGAATATGTAAACTAGTTTATGGATATATATAAAAATCTATGAATATGCAACAGGCTGATGTAAGGGAAAAGGTATTTAAGGGGTATCCCAGAAGGTAACAAGGTGCTCTTGGCTAAGTGCCAAGATACACCCAGCCATAATAACCTTTGCTCTATGGTCCTTGTCTCCTGTTGTCCTTTATTAAACTTTTTAAATTTTCACAGGAGAATGAAGGTGTTTTTCACAGCAGCAATGAGCTCCTCGGGTCTGGCAGCATTTAGGTTAAAACCTTCTACCAGCTTCATACACTGCCCTATATATCTGGTAGTGGGAAAGGATGAACCCTGACCACTCTTCCACATCACACATTATGTTGAAAATGTCTATAATTTCTCCCCTTTTTTGAGACAGATGACAGGCATTTGTGCCAGCTGGAGACAGCAAGCTCAGCAGTTCTTCACCCAGAAGTTGTCTGAGGCCTTTGACGATCCCTGTGGCTCTTCTCATACACTTTCCAGTTTTGATAAATATTTTTGATCAGACCTGCACAGAGTACTCAAGGCAACAACAAACAGCAGCTTTATGCAGTAGTATATTGAGGTTCTATGGCTGGCTTTCTGTGTACATTCTAGTAATTTCTAGTGTTTGTTTTGCTTTCTGAGCGTGGAACAGCAAGTTAATTTTCCCATGGATTTACCACTTATAACTTCAAAATCTTGCTCCTAAGGGCTAATAGCTAGCTTGGTCTTACTAAAAGGAAAGTATTTTTATTTCACATTGAAAGTCCCACAGAACCCACAGAATCGTGGCTCAAATGACACCGTTATAGTAAGAAAGTAATTTATTATTATTAAGAAGAGCATGGAATTCAAAATGGATTGAAAAGCCTTAAATCTTTTTATGGGGGATAAGTCTAGGAAGGTCAGCCACTGTTTTCATCAATTTTAACCCTGTTCTAAGAGGAAACTACCTGCAACAGCATTCTGATATGATAGCATTGTATAACCTCTCCACAACCTCCACAGTTTTAAGAGGAGAAGTGTAGGTAGAAGACCATAAAGGACAGTTTTACCATCATGTAATTTTTCAAACATCACTCACATTACTTTTATTTGTGTCCTCTTTGTTTTATTCTCTATCTGAAATCCTTGGAAAGCAGTGGAATGATCCTTCTCAGAAAGAGAGCTACCTCTGCTTAGAGAGAGATCTTGGTAGAACTCAGACATGCCAGACACTTAAATGCACACAAGCAGAACAGTACTTTCAAAGTGAATTAGCTTGAAAATACAAATACATTCAAGTGCTCTCTTGGACTAGAACCCTACGGGCAATTTACAGCCTTGACTCTTGCAGCTCACTGCACTTCAAAACACTTCAGCTCCACACACAATAACAACAGAAGTTTTGAAATGTGATCTGCCCAGAAACAAACTCATCCTGTTCCTTTTATCTAAGATGAAGATGAGAAATGAGAATTTAAAGAGGTAAGGTGTTTAATTCAGACCCTTCCCGTCTCTCTTTTTGATATATATATGTAACTCAGAATTTTTCTGTTGGACTGTGATGAGAATGGAGCAAAAGAACATAAAGGAGCAAGCAAAGAGGGTATGCACTATGAATAAGAGGCTGTTTTCCTTAGGTTGTTTATACAAATCTTATTGACAGACGAGCTCCAAAGAGCCAGCACCAACAAAGGAGCCACTGCTCAGCCCTGCCCTGTGGAGCCACTCTCTCCATGGAGCACACAAACACAGGCTCTCTGCTACCTGCCCAGGATAAACTGCTGTGACTGCTCCTTTACACTAGCTAAGCCTGGCCCTAACACCCTGCTTTCCTTTAGCAGGTCGATGTCCAAGCTCCTCTCCCATATCCACTTCCAAAAGACTGAGACTCACAAGGCTTTTTAGGATGCTCTTCATCCTTGCATTGTGAATAGTCTTGATGCAGTTCATGGGACTGTTTGTTGTGAAGGCAATTAGAATGAATCGAAATCCTTGCTCAGTCAGTCAAGACAACTTTGAGTACAGCACTGGAGTTCAGATGAAGAGAATATCCTAGAAATCACTATACACTGGCTCTCAAATAGACAGGATGAAGCTATTCAGTAAGATTTTTAATATTTGAACACAGAATCAATCTTTTAATAAGTTGGGTTGGTGTTTATTTTTTTCTTTTCTCTTTTTAAAGAATAAATCTTCCAGTAAAAAAAATTCGGGGAAAGCTACAGAATAAGGAACACCAGCCATATTCTTAGATGTCCTGAAAACAACCTGAAATGTTCCTAGACAAAACGGAACCTGGGAGAAAAACAGAGAAAGCTTCCTTCAATACCTGAAAGGACTAGCAAAGGTGACCACTTTCAAGCATGCAATTGAGGTTAAATAATATATTGCAGTCACCAGATGGGTCACCTACAGAAGGTAAGTAGGGTCAATATGTAAACCCTCTCTGAGTGGTGTCACTGACATAATTATTATTGGCAAATCAAATCACAATGACAAGATAAGAAGCAGATCACAAAGCTTGAATTACTTTTTCTTCTAAAATGGAGATTTTACATTAAAAAAATAAACAAACTACAGTATTTTTTCTGTAAGAGTTATGGAAGAACATAATTTACATTGAAAACAGAAATGTAATTTTTTTAGGTTGCTGGACTACAAAAAAGAAATCTTTTACAGACTTCTCCATTCTGGGAAACTGCCTTTTTTTTAAAATTAATTTTTTATTTTTTATTTATTTAATACTCCCAAGAAAGATAAAGTCTGAAGAGAAACCTCCCCTTGCATTTCTCTGTCTTGAAACTGGATTTTTTTTTTTTTTTTTTTGAAATGTAAGATGACTGTACCATAAGGAATGCAAGGCTTTGTGTAACAACAGGAAGTTGAAGGTAACACTGCATGCAGCCTACAAACTAACAAAGCAGACAATCATAGCATATAAAACTAAAAATGTCAGATGGAGCCTTCCTGAATTTATTTGCTAAAAGCAAAAAAGAAATTTCTGCTTTGTGCCAGTAGCATCTCATAAAACATTCCAATACATTCTTAGGACATGGGATTAAAAAACATTATGTAAAAGATCATTTTACTAATCTGAAACCTCTGTGTGTGGTAACTGATACAAATCTCTGATGCAGTTGAATTTACTCCAGAACAATTGTTGAAATCTCAATGTGTGTGTGTTTCCATCATTAAAAAAATCCCAGGCCAGTAGATGACACATTTGGTTTAGCTTTCCCAAAATTCAGTATTAGTTTTCCTTTTTGAAAAACCCTCGTGAGAAAAAATAAAACACAGCATTCCTTTTAATTGTGAAACAAGTAATTGCTGATGTGATCAAAGTTCCCTGTATCTAATTTTTTTAAGACATCTGTGAGAAAAAGAGCATAGTTACAGAATATTTGGTGGCCATCTCACTGTTTACTCACCCATTTCTTGCCTGGTACTGCAGACTCCTGTCCCATATTTTTCTAACTCTATGGTCACAGTTTTCAAAGCATTAACGTCTGTTTCTGCAAAGCCGAGGTAGTTATAAGAACCCATATTGATTACATTCTTGATAGTCCTTCCTGTAAACCTGTAATTAAAGCAAATTTTGAACAATAGTGCAATTTTCCTTCCAATCCCAAATGAAAAGGAAAAAAATCTCAAAATTTTCCCACCAAATTTTGTTCCAGTGTCAAATTCCTGCTTGTGAATTTACAATCCTAATACTCTAACAGTCCAAAAGTTTCTCTATCCTTCCTCTTTTCCTAACTAAGTACTGCTTCTTGGTCAGAGTGCTTTCTAGAAGGCACACTACAGATGGCAATATACTGGTGTGGGATCAATGGCTGCTTTTATGGATTTAAATAAACAAACAAACCTATGACTTTATTTAAGGAACAACTTACAGACATTAATTTTTCAAGCAAATTGTCAACTGCTTCCATTAAGTCATGAGTGTTTTCATACACACACAGAACTTAATGAAAATATGGGAAACACTATGATGCATTCTCAGTAAGATCAAATATAGCCAACCTACACATTGTCTATGCTGTGAATTCCCATAGCTATGTAATTCAGCTGCAATACACCAAAACCTTCAAGCTGTAATCTGCTTAAAACCCACTGCCAAAGACTCACTGTGAAGGAAAGAAGCCACATTCATGCAGTGCAAAAAATGATGATATAACACCTAACCAAGGGATAAAACAAATTTTGTTGCAATATTCAGAGTCAAGGTCTGTTGCTATAAATAGTGTGTGAGCAGTCTTGTGCTGACACAGCCAAAACCATTTGCAATTGAGTTGGAAATCTATACTGCATTTCCAAACAAATACTCAGAAGAAAAGGGTCAGATTGTCAGCATGTTACTGAGTGCAGAAAGAAACATGCTGGGGGATGTTAGACAAGGATATGGACACAACTTTCTGTGCTTTGCAGAGGTGTCAGCAGTATGCTCATGAGGCTGAGAGTGGCAGAGTGTAAGATGACTCACCTAAATGTCCAGTTGTAATCATCTGTAACACGCTCCATGAGGTCAAACTGTGGCCCAGGGACACTGCAAATGGGACGATTCCAGTTATCCCGTATTCTCAAATAGAGGTTCCTGGTGTAAAAGTTCTCAAAATCTTGATAAAGTGGCACAAAATCCTGGTTTGAAAACATGCACAAGGTTATGTTGCAGTGAAAATATCTCCTTCTATACCCAAGCCATTCCTATTAACAAGGAAAAACTGATTCATCAATAAACAGAGAGTCATAGCAGCCACATTGTCCTATGTCACAGCAATAACAAACAGCAATACTGTATGCTTACTATAATTATTTTAAAACACAATGTTGTATTTCTTAGAGGGTATTTTGTTTCTGTTTAATGATTGGAGGATTTTTGGTTTCTTTTTTGGTTAGTCAGATAGTTTTTTTTATTAAATGCTAAACAAGTTGATCTAACTCTCCCTACATATCCTGGAAGTTGGAAATGAAAAGGAAAAAAAAAAAATCAAGATTCTTTCACTTGAAGAAACCAATTGCTTCAAATTGAGCATTTTTCTATGTGTGGAGCAGATTGCAGAAAAGTTGGATAAACGACTCACTACATTTCATTAAATGATGGATGCATTAGACAAAAGCTAGTGCAATATATGTGATTTTGCCATTACTGGAATCATCCAGTTAAGACAATTTTTTTGGTTGAGAATTAATGGATATCCATGGATTTTACTTGGAAATTAAATTTAAACAAAGCTTTATATGAAACAGCAATATATCTATGTTGGGCACTGCATACAACAAACTGATAAAATAACATGGCGTGCAGTTAACATATGTGGGAAAATTAAATAAACATGTAATCCATAGTGAAGGATAAAAAAAAAATTAACTGGCACAAGTGGAATTAACAAATGGCCAGATCATGAAGTGAATTGAAAGTTATATTCATTAAGTCATGCATGCATCTTTGAAAATCTAAAACAGGAAACAATTTCAGGAGTTTTATTTGCAAGAGAAACAGTAAAACTCCTCTTGTTTTTCCTTCATTATGCCAGGTGTTACCACAAATGATGACTCAAACTTCACAGAGAAGGAGGAGGAACCAAAAATTTTAAACAAAGTTGGAAGGCAGCTGATCTTGCTAAGGCGCAAGTTTCACTTGGAATTATATGGGATAAAAAATTTTGGGAGTTACAAGAATTCAATTAGAACAAACCTAGAACTTCCTCACTGTGGAAGACAGCATAAGATAGCCAGATGGGACAAAGGAAAATTTGGGTAGAAGAGATTTGGAAAGATGATATATTTAAGAATAAGGCATTTATGAATTTTCTTTTTCTATGGATTGACCTAATATACTGAGATTCTGGTTTGCTGAGATATTACGGCACTCCTAGAACGAGGTGCATATGTCCCTGGGTAAAAATGATTTTACATAAATGTAGGTACATAATCATACACATGCATACAGCTCCACTGGCACGATGTGTCACTCCTCTCACCCCTGTGCAACGCTCTGTAAAATGAAAGTTGTCTGCCTTGTTACTTCCACAAGTTGCTGTAAATCACTTGCAATCAGAGGAAAACTCAGCTGTGGATACGTAATGACTTTTTCATACATACTTTTTGTTGTTCTCTCTCCGTAGCAATGTTACGTTTTTCTAGTCCCCAGGCTCTCATAAAATCTCGCAGGTAGCCAAATATTGTTCCCACTGCAAACCCCACGAAAGTAAAAACTGCAACATACATTGGTGCCTGTTCAAAGTGCTCAATAAATGTTTTTTTGTAGAGGGTTCCGTTTGATACTCCATTCTTCTGAAAAAACAGAACAGAAACTTTTGATTAATACATTTAATCTCGTCAGACCTTAGACCCTTTGGCCTCAGGGCAAATCTTTTTCTCTAATTAGGAGAGACATTTAGACCTCACACTAAATATCAGCTGACGAAGAGGACCTTTAACACTGCAGTTGCTACTGACCACTACAAGTATCTTCCATTTTCCCTCCTCTCATGTCCTCAGTTGCAGATGTCTTCCACACCACTCCCTTGTCTATTTTGAAACATATGAAACTTATGAAAGATTTGCTCTGTATTATTGTGCAATTGGACAATTATTTCAAAGGTGATTAAATGGAAACCACAATACTCTGTCTCGCAAGACAGAGCTATAAAAAGGGAAGGGCAGCATTAAAAGCTCACCTACACTACCCCTGACTCTTTCTGGAAGTCTTGTGTAACCAACCCGTTGCAGCAACTAACCTATATAAAACAAATCCTGCCTAAGACAGGGCAGCTTTACCGCAATGGTCTCCACACCTGAGGAAGTACCCAAAGCAGTTATGATCCCTGCCTTCTATTCCTGTTCTGATTTCACAAATGCTTTTAATCCTATTTTCAGTAACATCTCCCCTAATTCTAAGGCTACCTAAGACACAAAATAGAGAAGAGGAAAAGTAAAGAAAAAAACCTAAAGAAGGCACACAGACAGCCTTTCTAGCTGGAATTAGTGATCCCATTGTGAAAAAATTCCAGAAATTTACAACAGTGTGTGGGCAAAATATTTTGTCATTAAAATATATTAATATTTCCATTTCCAAATTAAAGAAGATGAGTTTTGCAGTTGCCATATTCAATAGGCTCATCAGACTATTCTTTGGGAGAGTGGCAACTCCCTTATTTCTGCAAACTGTGATGGCCTTTACAGCTACTGTCTAGTAACACCCAATCTGCTAATTCAAAATTAACAAAACACAATCCAGAAAAAAATAGTGCCCTGTTAAAAAAGCCAAAACCAAACAAACAAATACCCAAGACATATATTTTGACATATTATAAAGCAAAACTGCCAGTATATGAAGAAATACCAATAATACATTTCTGCCTGTGGGAAAGATGAACTAAAAATGTAGATTACCTAGTTATGTAATATAGCAAGCTGAAATAGAATATTCATATTAAGATCAATTGCCAATTCACTATACTTTATTATTGATCTTCATATTGCATCAAAATGTCTTTATCCTCACAGGATTTAGATTTCTGTTGTAAATTGCTGGTCCAATGACTGGGCTCCCCAATGGTTTTAGGAGAGAAAAAGAAATTAAAAAAAAAAAAAAAAAGCATTTTTGGGCAGAAAAGAAAATAGAAAGGCAGTTAAGGAAACCCAAAAAAAGAAAAAAAAAACCAAAAAAACCTGGTTGGGCTGAACAGAAACATATTTAAACTTTGGAAACACTTACTGCCCTGTAAGGGAGAAGGAATGCAGGACTGGCTTTCACTATGTGAGGGAACACCTTTGAAGAAATGATGCACTCCTACCTCAAGCTAATTGGTCTTTTAGGGCAACCTATTTACCATGAAAAACATTTTATGAGTATGAGTTAAATACATGGTGAAGTCAAATTTCACATGAGTCACAACTGCTGTGTGCACACAGTGATGAGATAAAGCAAATATTTCAGAAAGGATTAAGCTCGGTCCCATTACTTCACATTATACATGGGCTAAGAGTGTGTTTATGGTCATATGTGGAAATTCAAGTGGCATTGTAGTTTGATGTTCTTGAATCAATTGGCATCAAGCTGTGATGATGTGATAATGTACATCATCACAGAGGAGAGAGTTATGATGTTTCTGTTCATTGACTTTATTAAGAAACACTTTATTGCTGTACACCTTATTGGTGAAGGAACAGGAGAACTCCAATCAGACTTCTGCACTGTAACATCCTTCTTCCACAATAAAACCCTGCTGTTGTGGAACTCTCATTTCAGCAGGTGCCATTTGCTGCAGTCAGTGTAACACATGGATTTAACCAGGTAACCACTGCCACTCTCCTTAATACAAATGGCTGGGAGGAACAAGCATAGATTGTAGTGAAGTATGAAAAATGTGGAGTCAGGTGTGACTCACATTCTCCAGTCTATGAAGGACAAAACCCAAGAGTCTTTGAAAAGTTGGTACAAGGCTGGGAGAACAAATTCAAAAAACACAGTGACACCTTGTCTAAAAATAAAGTGAGAAAAACAAAACCATCCCTAGAATCCCACAAATAAGTAAAGAGAGATTCTCAAGAAAGAGAAACCAAAACAAGTGGATTTGCTGCTTCTGAAGAGTGGGAGAGTGGAAGTGGGGATGTTTTCGTGCTGATCCAAGCGTGGGGTGTTTGGTGACTGATTGAACATCATGTGGATATTTAATTTCAGCCAGTCTAAATTGGCTGAATTGGTCAGTGAAGCAATGGCTGTCATTTTGCACTGTGTTACTCTTGACTTTTTCTATGTTATCATGAAGTTTTATCTCAAAATAAGGAGGTGGATTTGGAGACTGTGCATTTAGAACAGCACCTATACAGTGAAGGAAGATGTAATTCAGCTGTTGCTGGCACTGAAATCAAATACAGCAGATTTCCTACCAATGCCTGAAACAATTCAGAGATCATTACTTACACCATTACACAGCAGAAGCTCTGGTGAATTATGTCTTATTACCTGTAATAACACCTGCAGTAGACAGTACATTTTCTACTCCATACCTTAAACTGTAACAATTGGTTGGGTAAAGATTCTAAAAAACATATATATCCTTCCAACTTTAGCAATTGGTGGCTTTGAGATTTTATGACTCTAAGACTATCTTATCACCTTATAACAGTCATCAGGGGATAACTATGAATGTGTTCATCATTTTTGAACCTAAAAAATGTTGGGGAAATAAATTCTGACTTTTGATAATTAATTTCACCTGTAAAAATGTGTTTCCTTTTCATAATGAAATTACCTGACAATGTCATGACAGTTTACTTTGACTTCTGTGCTTTCATACTCAGTCAATTACACAACTCATAATTTTCTATACCTAAATAAATTCTGCCTCTCCATTTGTCTCTTCCCAACCTAGAGGAATCTCAGTCTATATAATTCCAATCCAGTCTCCATGTCCTTACATGGATTTAAAATCCAAAAAATAAATTTAAAAATTCTATATTTTCATGCTCAACTTTCTCTTCACTCTGCAAAAATCAATAAAACCTTTTTGAGATGTAGAGGATGCAAATTAAAATTGAGGGCACAGTAGGGATTTATACATCTGAAAATGATGCTTTCTCTTCTTTTCTGTTGCTTTTTAAAGATTGTTAGCATTCTATTTGCCTTCTTGCCACAGTTTACAGTTTCACCTCTTATGATTACATATATCCTTCCTCAGTTGCAAACAGACCAAATTTATGGAACACTGCTGTTTGTGCATTCTTGGGACCATTTCCCCTTCCAATTAATTATTTGGTTTTTATTTAGAGACCTGAATTTTTTTTTTTTAATATTTTGTCAACTATATACACACTACCAACAAGAAACTTCTGCAGTGTTTCTTGTTCAGACCTAATTTTTCAGCAACCTGAAGAATTCTGTATTGTCAACACATATTGTCATCTATTTCTCCTCAGCCCTTTTTCCACATCACGGATGAAAATATGAAAGCACATGTCCAAAAAGTGATCCCTGGAGGACTCCATTCCCTACATTTACCTCGTTAGCTTTTCAAAAATTGTTTATTTGGAACCCCTAATTTCTCTGGCAAAAAGGGCAACATAAACAGCAGCCCAGAGTTACTCAGCAACTTCATCTTTGGCTTCCTCTAAAAATCTTGAGTAAATACCTCTTCTGGTATGTTAATCCACAATTTACTAGCTTGTTTTGAAAATTATACTGGCATCTCAAATCAAAATAGTTTCTCAGTGGCCTGCCACAAAGCACGTTTACCTTCCAGGCACAAATGCAGGGAATCTACTGGTGGAACATAAAGACACTGAACAAAGAAAGGCAATAGGTGAAATTCAAAGAGAATGGATATTTTTACCAAAGAGTTTTACAAGTCTAGGATTTCATCAACTTCTTGGGAACCAAAAGCACAGTCAGGATATGCAACTTTTGTGTGTTGATCCTCTGCTTAGCTGGTTTCCAGCAAGATACTGCAGCAAGAGAATTCCTTGCAGCAAGATTTTGATGCCAAAGAAGTCCACAGGAGTGATGGCAATGCAGCAAAGTCAGCTTTAAGTACAATACCTCTTGGATTCCATTTTCCCACTAGCCATAGTATTTCAAAATTCTCCCCTAATGAAAAACCCCTTCCAAAATGCCTTCAGATTTTCAAATGGAGAAATCAACTCTGACAACAAATCTGAGGGTGCTATTAGAAAGGACATACGTATAAAATACTGAATATAAGTGACACACAATTTTAATTGAATAGCTTGCTCTAAGAATAACGCAAACTCATCTTTAAGTCTATTAAACACACTTCTGGCAACACCTTTACAAGCAATAGTTACAAATATATTTTCATTAGCAAAGAAAAAAAAATGATAGCTATGTAATAGCATGAATAATACGTAAATATTTGTTCATACTACTGTTAAAATTAGGAGATAATTTTTCATTGTATTTAGGTCCTGCAGACTTGGAATTGTGCTAATTGGCACGAGCCAAATTTGCATCAAGGGGAGAATGAAGAATTGAACAGCATAGAGTGCCACAGTACCAAACCTCTGTGCTGGTTGTAACTCCCCAGAAGAGAGGTAACCAGGTATGCTGGGTGAGTGCAGCTGTATCAAGCTCCAAAAACTCATGTTTCCATGCAAATCTGTTCTACAGAGAAAACAAGCTCTAATTAAATATTCTCCTGCTATTACATCCACTTCCAATATAGCAGCAGCAGGTGCAGATAGGTATATCCTTGAAATAAAACTCCTGGGAGAACAATAAAGTCTTTATCTTTAAATATAAGTTCCCTGCCAGTAATAAAATCTGATCCAGA